GGCGGTCAGCTGTCACCGCCGCCCTCCGCACACCTTTCCCCTGCGAGCGGGGGTGTGGGCGCCCACGGCGTCTGTCTGCGCCTTCCAGCAGCCCCAACATCAAAGGAGGTTTAAGTTCGCCCCCCTCTGTGACACCGTGGCAGCAGGCAGGTTAAAGCTCTAAAGTTTTATTTAAAACACTCGCGAAACAATAAGCAAAGGCGTTTATTTACAAACACCGCCTTGTGCGGACGCTCAGCAAAAGCGCCAAGCTCTCGCTGCCCGTACCGTGTCTCCCGGCCTGTGTTTGCTGGGACAGAGCTCCCTGTCACCGCCGGAGTTGCCTCATTTACTGCCGTGCAAGATGTAAACAGGAATTTACCCTTTACTTGCTTTATTCACTTACTGAGGCCTTTCCCCAGCACAAAAGCCTGCAGGAGGGATTCACTGTCCTTTTTCTTCTCGTTTCCAGAGGGCAGGCTCTGTCTGGCAGTCCCACTGACGTAGCAGAAGAGAGAGACGCCTGAATCGCCAGGGAAGCTGAGATGTTTTCTCACAGCTCCATTTATTCCTTTTGTCCGCTCCACTTAAGAACTAGACGACTAAACTTGTGAGCGTTCAAATTTTTTGTAACTTAAGTCTTTTTTTTTTTCTTCTTTTTTTGTTTTCGGAAGGGGTTGGGGGTGTGTTATAATACTGTACAGTAGAGACTGGGAACAGAATAAATACTTTGCATGGAAATCCTGGCACGGTGAAGATGAGTGGCAAAACCTTGCTATACCACTAGAGGTTGAAATTAACAGATAAAAGCAAGAAGTTCAGAGCAAAGACAACTCATTTTCTTTAAACTCGTTCCAGTATCTGTAGTTATTAGCTGTTCAGATAGCACACAAAGGAGGATTTCCTCTAAAGATAATAAGCACAGTGACATAAATCAAGCATAGAGAGAGCATAGAATTTTTTTCTATTTATTTCCTGACAAATTAACTCTGAATTAGTTTGCTAAAAATTCATCTGTCATAAGCTTTTTTAACCCTTTCTCTAGTAACTCTCGGGCCACGCTTACAAGACTGAAATGAAAGGCTATTTTTGCTGCAGCAACCAAACTCCTCTATGCATAGGGTGAACTGCTCTTCGAATCCAAGCTTGCTGTGTGCTGCTTCCTTCCGTTTTTCTTACTTTTTATCTTGAAATAGGATATGCCTTTTAGAACTAAGAAGGTGCAGAGAAAGGCAAGTCCCACTGGAATTTTATCTAGCTTTCCCAATTTCATTCTAATTCTTCTGGGTCTCATTGTTTAAGGATCAGTGTTTAAGAAGTCTGTAAAGCTGTTACGGTTTTCCAAAATCAGTTGGTAGTTTGTGGCAGTGACCAAGTGAAGATAATGGAGCTCCTAGCTGGGAAATTCTTGCTGGAGGTCTGACTGACACTGTCCCGAGATTGTTCCACTCTCGTAGTTACAGCAGTTCTTGCATATTCTGACTGTTTGCTCAAGGAATTTCCATCAGGGCCCTTCCCAGAACACTTTGCATGTCAGTGCTGGGAGCCCGAGGCGGTGCAGCATATCCTCAGACCAGCAGACTGTGGAATTGATGGTTTGGCAGGAACCTCTAGTGCTAACATAGCGCAACAGAGTTCCTTTTATTCGTCTTGTGCTGAATATGCCCTCAGCTGGATACCTCTGATTACAGTCCTTTGTCCTCAGTAACAGTAGGAAAGGACAGTTGAGGCGGCACCCAACTGAGTTGAAAGTAGCGCAATAAACTAGTCAGCTACTGGATGGATACTCCTTCTGAAGGAAATCCTGGAGCCTGAGGAGTGAGTCACCTGGCGCAGGAGGGACCTCAGAGCAGGTCGTCCTAGCAGGGTGGTCAGTTGAAGGCAAGGTCTCCCAGGACCACTTCCAGCCTCTGCAGGAGGTGGTCTAGGTCTGGGCACAACCGCCCAGGGGTCAAAATAGCAGCACAGTTGTACACGCTCTGAGAAGAAAGATGCAGCATGTGCCCAGAGCAGCTGAGGCTTATGGTGGGCAGGCTGCCATAAGTAAGTGGCTGCCAAGGCCAAGGGATTTAGAGAGACTGCTGAGAAAGAGATGGACACAACCAGCAAGAACTCTGTGTTCGGGCCTGTGGCCTGGGGAAAAAGCGAAAGAGGCAATATTAAACCTAGGAAAAAAAATTTACCCGGTGAATGTAATGAAGCGCACCTGGAGGAAGGCCATTATACCATTACAAGCAGGTGTTCCGCATGCAGGGACTTGACGCACTGTGCAAAAATCTGATGCCTTGGAACAGTATAAAGACTCCAAGTGCCATGTCAGCCAAGGAAGAAGTACGCTTCGGTAGCAGGGAGAAGGCCCATTCATCCCTGTGGGGGAAAATGAAGCGCGTCCATTTTCAAGAGACTTGACAGGGCAACTGCGTTGTCCCAGGCAGCAGGTACGCTGCCCAGGCGTGCGGGGGGCTTACAGCAATACGGGTCGCTCTTGTCATAGCAAAATGAAGTGTGTCCCAGCCTGGCTCCCAAGACAGTGTGACGGCATGCAAGTGTAACTACACAGGTGGCCGCTGCCTTAACGCAGACTGGCCTCTAGGGAGGCGACAAACCAGTAAATATTAGACCAGTGAGAGATCCACGTTAGTGGAAACAAGAAAATCCCACATATAAGGCACTTGTAGTACCTGCCTTTCAGCTTACGCAATGCCTAATTTTTCTACTGCTGAGTGGAGGGAAAGAAGAGTCGCTACAGGATTCACAGCCAAATCCCAGTATGTGGAAAAGGGAAGGACGTGTATCTTTGCGGCAGACATTTCTATCTACGCTGCTTAAACACCCTTCAGAGGGAGAAACAGATGGTCTTGTGGTTTGACTCTGTGTTCTGCTTTGGAGACCCAAGCGCTATTCACTGCATGACTTTTGACCAGTCAGTTAAACCCACAGATGCAAAGGTTGATACTAATTTTCATATCCACCCAACTTATGTGCACACAAAGTCCAGCACAGGCAAGCAAGCTTGATGAGTTCAAATATGTATACAGTCAGCAACTTCAGAACAAGGATAAATTTACCCTCATGTCAGGCTGGTTGTGAGGCTAAATTAAAATACTTCGTAAAGCATTTGAATATCCTGAGGGGCTAGAGACATGCAAACTTTTAATAATAGTTGCTGTTTGGATTTAGCTGGTTGAGTTCAGTGTAGCGCGGCAGAATAAGTCTAGTTATTCCTGTGTTTGTGCTTTGGCTCCAACCATTATATAACTTACCTATATTTATTGCTAACCTGATATCTTTAAAATAGCAAGCAAGTTTTGATCAGCCCAGAGAAGGCAATATTGATGTTGGTTTAAAGAACAAAATACACAAAACCTTAAAAAAAAAAAATTAATGAAAAAGTCCTCTTGTTCTTTTCCAAAACGATCTCGGACATAAAATGTGGTGAGCAGCAGAGCTCTCGTCAGAAGTCACGCTCATCACGAAAGAGGAAGGGCCTGGAGCATCTCCGCTGCCTGCCCGTAGGCAGGCTGAGCTTGGGCCATTGGTAGAGGAAACCCTCACAGAGGCATCTTTGAGTGCTGATCAAAGCAATCAGTAGGGAGATGTATGCTCACAGCGCTGAAGAAATATCATACTGAGGCTTACTCGGGACTCAGAAAGACTTCTCTTCTTGGAGGGAACTCTTTTTTTCAAAAGCTGGAATGAAACAGACTCTCAGGAAGCGATTTTTCCAAAGCTGTAAAGAAAGTTACCCTCCGTTTTCTTTGCCTAGAGGCACAGTTTGCAAAACAACCTTGTGGAACATTGGGAAAAGCAACAGAAGGAAACGAGGAGAATCCTAAAAAATAGTTTATGGTGAAATTACCTGACAAGACTTTGTTCAGCTTCCTGGGAGTAAGTGCTCATCAAATAAAAATCATCAACGCATAGGAGCTCTCAAAGAGGAATGAAATGGATTTGAGCACTGAACTGTCTTTGACCTCTGTGAAAACTGAACTATCCCAAATCGCTAGTTATTTTTGCAAATCTCCCCCTTTCTGTGCAATGAATCAATCAATGGAATGCTAATTTTCCAAGTAAGTAGTGTGGAAGTCAGTACATACAAATTATAAGACTGTTCTACCTTACAAGTACATTAGCTGTGCTTGTTCTTGCAGGCAATAATGAATTGCCCTTTGAAAAAAAAATAATCTAGTATTCCTGAAGTATGTGGCAAAGGAAAAAAAAGAAACTAGATGCAGGCTCCTTCATTTCTTTCAGCTTAAAATGCAGATTTCCACTGCAGCTGGACAGACAAACCCTGGCTTCAGTTTCACAAGCAGAATTCAGCTGTTCCATGCATGAAACTGAAGCTAAATTGTTGTCCTGGCATGGAACAGGAAGAAGCATCTGGCCAGTAAGAGAGACTAGCAGCAAGCAAGCCCCCTTTCCAAAGTACTCTACGTTGTTTTACTTTTTCCAAAACAGATGAGAAAAAAAGCAACATAAATTCGCTGTCCATTTTTTAGAAAAAAAAAGTTTAACAAATAAAATACCTTGCACACTAAGCCTCTCAGATACCTAAATCCATTCTTTTAATAAAGATAACAGAAAGAGCAGCCATGGCTGCGTGTAGCATGCAGAATCAACAAATTGTGCAATTGTGCAACCCGTTCTGTCTCTTTTAAATCAATTGTCAGTTTTACTGCTCTCCCTTATCAGAAGCTATCACCCGTCATGCAGGGAGAGGCAGTCTCTCAGCTATGTAGCCACTTGGTTTTGATTGTAAGCCCGCAGAATCGCGTGTTGAAAGACTCTTGACATTGGAAATCATCGTAAGCTGAATCACAGGGGTGCCAGATCGAGTGTAACATCTCCACGGCCTCTTAGGACTTCATAGCTGTTATCATGCGGCTTTCCTACAGTCTCTCGCAACTTCTTCCTAAGAACAGGAATATAAATTATTTACTAGGAAAACAAACCCTGCCATTTGAGCTGAAGAAGATTCCCTTACTATCTGTTCCTACCACAGAGCTTCTTGAAACACCAAGACACACTTCTGCTTTCCTCCAGAACAGTGAAATACAGGCTTACATTTAGTGATTTACATTAATCACTCTTTCACATTCAGTAATTAATTTGGAGAGGAGAACTGCAGGCACTAAATTAACCTTTTTACCTGATTTTTACTAAATAAACGGCCCCATAATGTAATTTTCTCAACCAGAAGAGGTATTTTCTGCGGTTTGCTTTACTATTTGGAAAATGCTCTAAGCTATTCCATTTAACTTGGTAATAGTCAAACCTTCAGACTGTGTCCCTCACTCTAGGGATCGCACCTGTAAATCAATCGTTCTTCCTAGAAAATAGATGACTAGTGAGAAACGCATGTTGCAACATGCAAGAATGCCAATAGCAGATAGGACCGTATCTCCTCCTCTACAGCATTTCCAATTTTACCCTTTTAGTATTGGCAGCGTGAATGATACAGTGGAACAGCTAGCTGACAGTAGTATTTCATGCACATTTCTCCTTAATTTTGTTTCATATATATGATCTACGTGCCTGAATCCAAATTACTATACGGAAAAAAGTCCTTCTTAGTTTTACTGTCCGTATCCAAACCTTTTTGACCTGCCCTTCTAAAGGATAAAACGGTGCCCAATTTTTGAAAAACTCTTTTCAAATAGTCATCATCTGCCATTAAGTTTAATTCTTGTATAAGCTGGTTTGAAGAGATGTGTTTTCTTGAATTGCTTTCTAAACTACAGTATAATTTCTTATGGCCTTTCTTAATAGTGCTAGAAGCAAAACAGAGTGGTAATACGGCAGTACAGGAGAAGCAGAAAATGACCTACTTTCACAATCCAAGATCAATAAGTAAATGGGCATTATAAACGCAAAGGTGTTAACTGCAATAAATAGTCATAAAATCGAAGAATGACTGAGGTTGGAAGGGACCTCTGGAGGTTTTCTAGGCCAAACTGCTCAGAGCAGGGCTAATTTCAAAGTTAAATGAGGTTGAATAGTTTTCCACATTGCATGTAACAAAGATGCATGGGAACGGACATCAAGGTAAATCAAGGTAACGACAGCTGTGTACTCTTGAGCATACCTACTCCAAGCAAGCCTTCAGCTAAAGCAACTTTACCATGGTCTTCAGGAAGGGAGAAAATGCGAGTAACAGTACCTTAAAAATTCATTCTCTGTGGCTCATTTAATACAGGTTTTTTTACATTTTTCCCTTCCAGAACATAAAAATTCCTTTCTTTTCTCCATGTGACTGCTTAAAGGCAGTTCACGTTAATTACCTGACTGTGGTTATACTTCAACGTAGACGGTTATACTTCAACGTAGACATCATCATCTGTATCTGGATATTTTATGTCCCGGAGAGTTCGTATCAGCATTGTAGGAGTTTATAATCTTGCAAAATATATAGTATTTCTGTGACACTTGTATGCCTTTTTTAAATGGATAATTTGCTGCCCAGTAACATAGTGACTTGCACTTTTCCGTGTGGGTCAGGATCACGTTCGCCGACGCTCTTTTGGATAAAAGAAAGGTTGCAGATTTTACAAAAGTGACATGCACTCCCGTTTGCTAAAAATCACCTGGCAGCTCAACTGGATACAGCAGTCTCCATTTCCTGTCCTCGCTCCGGAATCCTTGCTGCTAGGGCCTGGCTTTTCTTCCACTGAAGGAGATGGGAGCTTTGCCATGGACTGCAGTGGCAGCAGGAGGAGAGCAGACACAGATTAGGCAAGGTGTTGGAGGATTTTCTGCATGCTCTGTAAGTATTTAGGGAACCGTGTGATACGTGATCCTAAAGACGAGGTTAGGCAGTTTGAACTCTTGAGTTAAACCCAGATATTTCCAGACAGGCAGAGCTACCTACTGACTGTACATTTGAGAAAGTACATCTGAATTATTTCTTCTGGCAAGTATCAAGAGTATGTTAGTGAAATGTGCCTGGATATGGTAGCTTAAGATAGAACTATGCTGGAAATGTTCCTGCAGCTGCTACTTGGAAAACATCTGTGGTACTGTGCACGGAAATTTGTACATCTCTGTTCACACTAGCGCAGAGCAATTAATCTTGGGAAACAAAGTATACATTATTATTGGGAAATATGAGAAGGACATTATGCACCAACGGACATGAAATGACTAAAGGTAGTTATCGTTTGGAAAGAAAGGAAAAAAAATGGAGTATTCCATTTCTGGCACAGGAAATAGAGTAAGATCGGCAGGCTCGGCAAGACTTCTAGAACTCCAACTGCTAGTTATTTGAGTAAGAATAACCAATCCACTAGACTTGAGGGGTAAAATTTTTTACACTTACAGTTGCAAAAAACCTTTCATCTGTGATAATTTGTGACAGTCTGTGTTTGTATAGTCTGATAAAGGGAAGAATATACAGGTTGACATGATTTCTTATTTACGGTTAATGGTTATCCCTATGCAAAGTATAAAAGACGTTGCCCTGAAGAACTCAATTTTAGCAAATGACATACAAGAACGTAAACTTAAAAAGGTTAAGAAACCCTGGGAAAGGACAATGAGATGTATTTTGTTCACAGCACATCAGATAATTAAGGGATTTTTCATTTCTTGAGGCTTTCAAATTAAGCCTGGGTCATTGGAAGGTGTGCTTACTGAAATGTAATGGCCTGTTGTGTTCAAGAACTTGGACTGGATAATCTGAAAAGCGAGTGTGTAAGGAATTGAGAATGTCTTTGGTAACACAGCAGAGAGCAGCACGGTGAGAAATGAGGGGGGATATCTGACTGGCGGCCAGAAATTTGTCACTGACTGCTACTGAGGCAGGGTGTCTGCTAAGAGCCGATGAGGCGTAAGTTGCGATGTGTGACCCATCATGTCATCTCCCGATAGCCATATATGAGCTCTGTGGTACAGAACATCGATACTTTGCTATTTTACCTATTTTCTCTCATGATACCTGCATTGCATGAATGAAAAACAGAAATCAAGATGGAAGTATCTTCCTATTGTTTCGTGGATGCTTTGTGCAAAGGGTCTTTCGGCTTCTTAGTGTTTAATCCAAATTATATAAAATGGACTTGCACCATGTTAAATCTGAAAATAAATTTAAAATATCCATTCCCAGTCCTCGCAGCTGAATGCCTCCTGGCAAATCTTTTTACTCAACAGCTGCCTGGTTCTACAGTCAGAAAGGTGACTGCTCTGTTTTTCTTGGTTTAACTTCTAATGACTAATTTAAATTCCATTTATGCAGAATCCCTATGATTTTGAAAATGCTTTCTGAAATTATGCACAACTACCTTTCTAAAAAAATACTTTAAAAAGCATTAAGTACAACATTGCCTAGAATTATCTTGTCAATTAAATAAAAGAACCCACTTGAAATAAGTGACAAAAACACACAGTGAATGAAACGCACCTTCCAGTAACAAATCGTTATTAAAAGAGACCTTTAAGCAAACTGCTAGTTACGTGGTCATGCTTAGACAAGCACAAGGTTATTGAAACATACAGCTTCCTTTCAGACAATTTAACTTGCACTGAAGGCAAATGATTGCCGTAAAAGCACTGAAGCACGTTGCTCAGGTATTTGGTGTAATTCTATTGGCTTCTAAAAGATTACCCTCGCTGCACAACAATGTCAGTGGGATCAGAATTGGGTCTGCATCTTCAGCTGCCATTACAAATACTGCCTGCAATGTCTTCCTGCAGAAAATTGATACATGCATCTGGTATTATTAACTAAAACAGACAGGAAGCGATATTTTAATAGACTTGAAGATGCAATGTAGATTTCTGACAGTAGCTGTAATGGAAATCGGTGAGACTGAGCCGGCTCACAAAGGACCTGCAAGGGGACTAATACAAAAGGCGCCTAAACCCACCCAGTGCAGAAATCATGAATAATAATTGTATTCACTGGGTAAGTTATGAAATGTGTCACAGATTTATAGTCTTTCCTGGTTCTTTCCTTTTTCTCAGCGCACGGAGAGTGGAATTTGAACAAGGCGGGGCAACAACAAGCCGTGAGCAACAAAACTGCAAATATTCTTGACGTGGTGCTGGTGAAGTCATCCACGAGTGCCTTCCCCTTCCCTCTTTACGTGAGGGTTTGCATGGGTGTTGGGTTCTAGTTCCCCCTTCCTCTTCTCATGCTGGAGCTATTTTCGAGGCCTCCAAAGTGCAGTGTGATGATGTTACAAAAGTAGGTTGCATTGGGCACTGTGCTTGCAAGCTTGGCAGTTAGCTCCTTAACACCGCTCTAGATCTTTTCAGCTCTGTGTAGAGAGAGGTCTTCATGAAAACCCAGGCGGAGAATCAGGCTCGCCGAAGAATGCTGTTCGCTCTCCGGCCATTTCCTCCCGCCCTGTCAGTATCGGGGATCATGGATTTCTGTGGTTACCAGCATACCGTTACATGGGCTTGCTCAGAGCCATCAAATAATAGGCAGGGGCCTATCCACGGTGTTATTCCTGGAACAAAATCCTTTTGCATCAGTGAAAAGTCTTAATGAAGACTTGGAATTTCCTTCATGAATCAAGATTTTAGCACTACAAGCAATTCAATTTTTAGCTGTGTTTTGCAAGTTTTATGCCAGCTACTGTACAGGGAATAAGAACATTTTCTAGGAGAGATTTGTTTTCCAGTAGACTTTTTGATCTCTCTCTTCTAGTAACCTCATCTTGGGAGTCAGAAGTTAGGTTTCTCTGTTGTCAGAGGGGATTCAGAAATGCCTCCTGAGACAGTTTAGCGTCAAAAGTACCTCTGATGAAACCAGATCAAATGGGTGGAGAGGAGAACACTGCATTAAAACAGCATAAATTGGATGAAAACAGGCCAAATGTTAATCGAGACAGTGAAAATGGAGGTCTGAAGTAGTTCCCTTCAGCGCTTCGCATCAACGTCTCATCTCCTGTAGGAGTTTGATGCTGCTCCCTTGGTGGTTAGCTGTAGTTTGGCCTTCTTTATACTAGGAAGTTTTGCGATTGAAGTTACACAGATGCACTTCCTCTTGTCCCAGGACTTCGATGCAGCTGTGCTGGTACAGGGGTACTTACACCGACATAATGGTATAAATGGTAGCTTTTTTTTTCCAGTAAACAAAGTATGTGGTATCAGTGCACGGCAGCTTTATACCAGCTTAAATGCATACATAATTTTATGTGTACCTAAATATCTATAATATGTACAAGAATGATAGATGCTTCCTCTAAATACACAGTGGAGTTCTAGGGTATATATAACCAGCTCTCTATACAACCGGGGTTCTTTGCATCTCGCCTGTCCCAAAAATGCCAGCTGCTTGGCTGAAGGTGCCCTGCAGTCAGCCGTGTGTGGCAGGCCTCGCAGCTTAATAAAGATCCCAACGAACAAACGGCGCTTCCGGGCTCGCTCTCTGGATGCGTCTGAAAAGCGTTTCTGGATGCCCATCAAAAAAACATGTAAACTTTGCCTTTGCGAAACAAAGCAATACCCCTAAACACGACAGCTGTGCTGTTATAAATTTTCTTGTGTAGGCTAACTGGCGTTTCCCTTTGTGGTGAGCTTCCTCTTGTAATGGAAAGTCCTCTCACCTAGCCACTAACACTGTTGGATGCTGTTTCTGCACTGGTTTGCTATATGTTGCAGCAGCAAGACAAAAATCACAATCTCTAACAGCTTACAGTCTGTCCTAAACTTATTAAGTTTCCATTGATTTGTGTTTGGGTCTTGTTGGCTCAAAATATTTTCTGCTAAGTATAGCTCCCTTCTCCTGAGCAAACAAGATGGGTTTCTTTTTTCTGCACCCTCCCGTCCTAATTTCAACAGCTATTTTGAACTCGGGGTGTGGTCGCTGAGGCAGACAGTCATGCACTGTCATTGCTTGTCTCTAGATTTGTTCGTGTTGCCAGTGACCCTTCTCCCCAACACCAACCTCATATTTACGTTAATCCTTGATCAGCAAGCCTTGCTTGCTCCGTCTTTTAGGAGGCACGTGATAAATCTGAATAAATTCATTTATTTATGAATTCTGAAGTTGACCAACTTCCATGAGCACAAGGTGAAAAGTGTGAAATTACACTCCTCTGTGCTGGAGACAGGAGCTGTACCAGCGGGGACACTTACTCCTATGGCTACTGGAGGATCAAATGCCACTCTCCCTTAGGGGCTTCTGTCAGGGGAACAAGTTTTAAATTCTGGCAGATTTACAAATCATTTCATCTCCTAGACTTGTTCCCGCACAAAGGGCCTGGTGAGGGGAAGCCTGTGCAAAGGCTTCAGTTTTGATAGCTTTGATCACCAGGCACCGGTCCCACTGCTTCTAAAAGCAACAGAATCTGCAAAATATCTCTCAGATACCTATATATATGTGTGTACATATACGTATGTATGTAGCCTGTATATGTTTTCTAATACGTCTATTTCTGTATAAAAAGAAAATGTACACACTGAGGTTATTTTGTTTGCTTAATAATGCTACCTCTACGTTTTTACTTTAACGCTACTTTTACTCCCCTCAGTTAAACAGAAAACACTCGACTGTCAAATCATCCCATTTAATTAAAACAGAGATATTTTTTTTTTTTCTTCCTATGATGCCTCTTAAGGAGTTCTGAAAGAGTAAGCAGCTCTCAAGGGGGGAAAGGATTCCAGGGCTAATGTCATTTGATGCAGGCTCCTTGGTGTTTGATACTTGACCCATATTCTCAAATGAGCTTGAATTATGTTTGAAGAAAATGCTAATTCATGCATGAGCTGTTGTCTTTTCCATCACTGCAGAAAACAAGGATGTTGGCTAAACTAGACACATTTTTTTCCCCCGGAATTAGGTGCTAAGTCCCTAATCATCATATAGCAGTAGTTTGGTCTTACGGGAAGAGAAGTAGTCACAACTGTGTGACTTCTGCCTTCCAGTTTGTAGCCCTGCTGCTGTCCCGGTGCTGCTGTCCTCCATACCAGTATAATGGGATAGCAGTGGGGCACTTAGATTAATTAGTGGCTGTAAAGCCTGTGGAGCTCTTTGGTTAAGTGGTTCAAAGAAAACTATTGTTCTAAGTGACCCCTGTTGTTCTTACCTGGGTGTCCAATTGCCGAGTGGGCAGACTGCTTGTGTCTAGAGTGTTAATTACCACGTGTCGCTTAATCGTGAAGGTTTGTAATCCTATTTCAGTTTGGAAATCCACATGCCACAAGGCCCAGTTAACGTCTCCGATATCATCACCTGCTAGTCAATACACAGCTATTAGCCATCCATAACTATTCCCGGTGAACTGCTGTGCAGACGTGACAGGACAAGTTTTGCCAAGCCATATTGGAAGATAGTTTAGCAAGGCTAGTTAAAATAACACCTATTTCATTTGACGGCATTGGAAAGTCTCACATCACAACACATATTTTTATTTAGTTTAAAATTTGTCTTGCAGAGGTTAAGGCTTCAGTATAAATCTTCGCTTTTATGAGGATCCCAAAAGATTTCAGATGGCTTTTCCTCCAGTTTTAATTCAATTTTTTGTTGATTTCACACCAGCCTTCCGGTTCAGTGTAACTCAAGAATTCCCCTCTCAAAGGCTATTGTCACTGTTTCTAAATAATGAGTGCTACAAGCATCTGTAGCAAAGGAATTTATAATTTTCACTCACTGCATCTTTAGGTTCCCAAAGAATGTCAGGAAGGAATGGCTATTCTGTAAAGCACAGCATGTTACAGAATAGATAAATTGTGTTTTCTCCTAATACTGGAAACCCTTCTCATTTCTCCCCCCACATACTCGCTTCCCTTAATCACAAATAAATGCCACATGGAAAGAAAATTATTCCTTGCATAAGGGAAAAAAACTCCAGATTTTCTGATTTCTAGACCTTACCATGCACGACTTCTTTGCCCACCACACTTGATCGTTCTGCCAGGTCCAGACAGCACAGGGAGCAGACTAATTTTCCCTGTTTATAATCCCAAAGCTGATAGTGCATCACTTACAGTAAGGATCCTTGGGGTTTGGGTTTTCTTTTTCTCAGTCCTGCTCAGCTGTTTGCCACAGATCAGTTAATTACAGAGGAACAAAGATGGGGCAGGGATCCTTCTCTCCCAATGTAGAAAATGAGCCCTTCTGCTGCAAGGCTGCAGAGAAAGCGCTGTTGAGCCATGCTCTTGTAACAGATTCCGCCCCCCTCAAATTACGTGATATAGGAATGATAATTTTGCAGAGTGTTCTATTAGGTTTAAATTAGTAAGGGGAAAGGAACGTATGTGTTCAGGTAGATGTCTGAATTAGCATTTTTAGAATTGTCATGCTATGTGTTTACAAAATGAACTTTTTTTGCCGTTTAGGTAAACTGAAACGTATGTTCCACTATGTGGCTTAATAGAGCAGTCGGAGGAGGAAGAACATCCATACTCCATCTCTGTGATGGCAAGATACACTTCAGAATGCTGGGGGGGAAAAAAAAAGCAGCGACTGCCAAGAGCATTTAGATAACGGAGACGGGAGCTCAGAGCCTCATCCTGTAAACATCACCTAGATGATGCCACTGCAAGGAGTCAGTTTGAAGTCAACCCCGTTAACAGTAGTCATTGTTCAAACTGGAGCAGATCCACAACGCTTACTTCAGAGCCTAAAACTTCTTTCATCCCTTGAAATACTGGCTTCAGTCACCAAAAAAAAAAAATCAGTCGGCGTGCCAGTTCATTCACCTTGCAGGGATGCTGTGTTTAAGGGTGCTCAGATGTATCTGATGTGATATACAAGAGCGCTGGCCTGTGTCAGGAATGTCCCGAGTAAAAGTTGTGCATGTTTCTGGCAACCTAAGAGCGATTGTCATCAAAATAAACTTGAAGAAATTGTTGGCCGTCATCACTGGCATAGCAGACAGGAACTGTGCCTAGAAATAGAGATTGGCATAGCAACACTGCTGACTGTTTTGTAGAGAAGGCGGCTTATTTTTCCAGACCGCGACATTTAATAAACATTTTCTGTTTGTTGGAACTGCGGAACCTCACTAGATCAAACTGAATGCTAATCTGCTTGAGTCGCCACCACAGACTTTTGTCTCCAGTATGTACACATCACGAGTCACTGTGGTTTCATTGGGTTTGTCCTATGACATTTGTTCTTTTGTGTTTGTCCACGAAAACTAGACAGAACATGGAACGCATTGAAACAGCCCCGCAAATCCTCCAGACGATGATTTATTTTGCGAGATCCTGTTTTATCTTGCCATTAGGGCTCTGTTAAGCTGCAGGCTGAGAAGCCCTTTGATGCAACCTCTGACTAGCAATCTGCTAGGGGGTCGATAGGCACCAGCGCAGCTGCCAGCTGTTCACATTTTAGCCGTCTTCTACCTGAAGCGTCGGACCTTGGATTCACACTCCACGCAAATGGACTGTGATACAAAGAGGAGCTTGGAAGCGCGCATCCTAAAAGCTCTGAAACACCAGAGCCTAAATAAACCTGACTCTTGGTTTCAAGCTTTTAAACGGGGCTTTTAAATCCAGATGGGCCTCTTGAACCCTCGAGAAACAGCATGAGGAGAAGGGTCCCACACAGACACCCGGGAGTTAGGCCCACGGGAGCTGAGCTGCCTCACGCCGCCCCCCTCGGGGCAGCAGGTCAGCATTTGCCTTTACCCTTTATTACAGCGCAAGAGAGCC